AGTTGAACAACAGGTCAGCATTTTCTCATCGTACTGTACATGCATGTGTATATACTGTGTATTCCTTGGCTTTTTGCAGAACCTCATATTCATATGCCAGTTAATTTGTCATTGAAGTGGCATTACACACAGCCAAAGAAAAGAAACTATGACATCATTATGATATCAAACATCACATGATTTAAATTTCGCTTAAGGAGCACCAACACATTAAGGATAACTGTTAGCATTTGAGAAAAGACATACTAACCACATACACTCTGCAAAGCTTTACAGTGACTTTTACTGTACATACAGTAGTGTATCCCCTAAATTATCAATCTGTGTGTGTATACAGTACAGGAGTAGTAGCCATCTTGTATGCCAACAATTATTTTTGACAAGAGACATATTAACAATTTTAATAAGCACCCGTCAACAGAGATGCTGTGTTTATGTTCTTTAAGCTGCTGCTTTAAACAGCATGCTCTCTGTGAACTGTAATGTATGGGTTAGTCCTTGACCGCAGAGCTGTTGGAAGCAACTACGGTGGAGGGAAACAGACTAGTGTCAAAATTAGCAAATGAGTCACGACACGTAGCTCTGTAAATAACCGAACTCTGTGTGTACAGAACAGGATTAAGTGCTCAGAAGAGGCTGAAGTGTGTACATGGCCCCTGTTACACCGCCAAAACCTTACAAGATCCTGCTTGCATAAACTTATGTATCATTTTGTGCTCAAGGTTGTCATTTATTAAAATGAAATTGTACCATCACTGACAAAATACCCTGTGCCAACCAGAGTATTACTAAAACAAACCTCTTAAGATTTTTATGCAGCTTCAAATGATAATTCTCAGATATAGACAACCAAAACTGCTCCACTCAGATTTCTCAAACTTCCTCTCACCTATCTGTTCCTCTCTGGGTTCTTCATTAAACTGCATCGCTGCGGTTCCCTCTGAGGGGAAAAAAACAGCCAAGTTCATCCTTGAAAACCACAGACATATTTCACTTAGATAACAGTGTTCTTTCCATTTTGAAAAAAGGCCAATCTTACGAAGATCTGAAAAAATACAATGTATACAATGGGGTATGGTTTCCATCCATCAACAACAAAAAATATATTGTGTAAGATGTTGGCACAGTCACAAAAACAGTGGTCTTTGAGTACTTGGCCTCCAAAATGGACCAAAAAAACAAAAACAATGTGCGCTTGGCTCTGTAGACAGACAGCTAAAAGAGCCAAGGCTTGGCAAAAGTTAAACATCAAAGATAGTGATCATCTGTCCACTTTTTGCTACCCAGTGAAATCTACCCTTGGCTTTTATATCAGATCGGCTACATGTGGAAACATGAGGGTCACAGTAGAAATCTTCTTACTATCTCTGCCTTCTCACCTGAGACAACCTGTGCACTCATGATAAAAAGCATGGATTGGGAAAATCTGCAATTGTATTGATTACATTTCTGATCAAATAGTAGTGGATTAAGAAACATGAATCTGTGTGATTTGCCCCATAAAAGTCAGAATGACCTCCTCTCCTAGGTTCACGAAACGGTCGTCCATAAAATGCATTGCTGTTCTGTTGTAAGTAATCGTAAAGATTCCTAAATGCATCTACTTCTGGAAGGCCAAATAAAGTGCTTTTGCTTTCGCCTAGAAACACACAGCGTCTCCCTGACATGGCTGCTTCAACACTAACTGCGGTTACTGAAACCATGCCTTCTTTCTTTGCCTGAACATTTGGGCGGCATTATGCAACTATTTCTACATTGTGAGGTAGATATGTGGGGGCATGTTTAAACGAGCCGTTTTAGGGGGGCGTGGCAGAGTCTTAACTTTGATAAAGAATATCTCTTTGCTTTTGAGACTTTAGTCTTTGCAAATTCAGAGATCTTATCTATGCACAATCTAGGGCTGTAGTACTCGAGTCCGGTCGAGTTTCTCCTTCTTTCCAAAGCACTCTGTAGCCTGCGCTCTATGCTTGTGCTCCCGTGGCGTCTGCCGTCGCTAAACAACTATGACCTGCACTCTCCATGAAGACGCGGAAGTTTCAGCAAAGGATAAATGGATTTGCAGCACTAAAAATCTACTAAATTTATTTTTAAAAATGGCTATTCCTGTACAGCTATGATCAGCTGTTTCTCCGTCTTGGCTTAGCTTTCAATTTTGTTACGGGAAAGGATGAAGCTGATTGGTTGATTCTTGTCAAATGACTGGACTTGGACTCGAAACTTTTGGACTTGGACTTGACTTGGACTCGAACCTCTTTGGACTCGGTCTTGACTTGGTCTCGACTAGTCCTGGTCTTGGACTTGTCTTGGACTCGACAAAGCTGGACTTGACTACAGCTCTAGCACAATCAGCTTGTAACACTCCAAAGAGAAAAGAAAACTTGAAATCGCATCATATCATATGACCCCTTTAAGATCCCGCAGTGATGTTTATTTCAACAAGTGCAACATTTTGAACTTGCAGGTCTTTTATTTAACAACTAACAGCTGAAAATTTGGTCATCATTTACTCAACCTCATAAAGTTTTAAGCCTGTGGGATTTTCTTTCTATTATAGAACACAAAAGTAGACATTTTGAAGAATGTTTAAAGCCCAAAACACCACCAGACCCCGCTGACTTTCATTGTCTGAAAATCATTCTGAGTTTCATTGTTTCAATTTTGTGTCCCACAGAAGACAGAAAGCCATACTGGTTTAGAACAACATGAAAATTTAAGAAAAGTATTTACTTACGGGTGACCTACTCCTTTAAGGTGTCCTGTAACCAGTTTGGGTAGGATGTACACATAATACAGGAAACAAGTTGACATTTTAAGGTACAGTAGGAGAGATACTGTAACATCCCAGTAATAAACCCTCAAATTTAGTCACATTTCACGTGTGAAGTAAATACAGATGTGATAGTATGCTGTGCATAGTGACCTTATCTTAACATGGGCTCATTCTGTGGATTTGGCAAAGCAGAGTGGAAAAACATTCCAAGGCAACTGGTTAACTATTTAGGAATACTAACCCATCTTTAGAATTCCTTACTTCTTTAGAAGGGAGAAGCGAAACTAAGGCCTTGGCATCTGAGCACCTCAGTTAGGTAATTAGGTGCTGCTAATTTTTCTTGTAAACAGAAAGAATGGCAGACACAGCTGTGGCTGATTAGGTAGTTAATATCTCAGCAGTTGTGAAAAATAAACACTATAATCTGAGCTAATCTGGGAGAGATTATTGGCCCACTGCAGTTTGTCTGACCTGGAGGGACATGCGGCCCATCAATGTGTAAACGATTTGAGACAGGACAAACAGAGAGAAAACGATGAGGATGAGAATTGAAGGTGAGGATTTAGTTAATCTCATTATTTACAAGGAGGCTGTTTCTTTTCAAATCCTTTTTTTTTAAATAAAACTTAATGTTAAAGTGTTAAAAAATTTCATTTTTTATATAAATGCTAAACAAAATAAAATACATTTTATACTTAAAATAACACAATAAAACATAATTCAGTTGATAAAAAAAATTAATGAATCATACTCAGTTAATAAGTCAATTCTGTAAGAAATTTTCCTTACTACGCACAGTGGTCTTGGGAAGTGAATATTGATAAGATTAGTTGATATTAATTTATCAGCATGTCAAATAATTCAGTTAAAATTCAAACGAGCTCATGTGCAAATTAGCCGCAAGTAATCGCATATATCAATATTGGGCTTAAAATTTGACAGTCATAGCTGAAATGTTAAATCAAATGCAGAACAGAACATGCCGTAACAATTCAACGGTCTTCTGCCAATGTCTCGCACTGATCCGGTATGCTGTTATTTCCAGCGTTATGGAGTTAAACTGAGATGGAAACTGTGAATAAATTTACGTAAAATGAACAAAGTTTGGATAATTAATAGTTGAGTAAAACGAACACTCACTAAAACTACTGATACTCACAGATGTTTGTTGATCTTGTTTCTTGGTGTTCCCCACAGCTACAATTCAATTTAGCGGTCCATGTAGGGAGATTTATGAAACTAGTCACAAAAAATTGGAGTCTGGCACTCCTGCATTTTGGAGCATGTGAAAATATTCCTTAGTCATATTTCAAACAGAACTCTCATTTGATGCTTTGTTCAGAAGTCGTTTTCCTGGGTAATATGTTTGCTAGCCATTTTTCCTCCTATAAGTCAAATTCAACATGAAGAAAGGAATCTGGTAGGTCCTTACAGGAAGCCTTTGAATTTTTTAACAATTGCTGTCAAATATGTCACCCTCAAACTTCTAAGCACGGGCTCTTTTAGGTTTATTTGTCTGCTGCCACACAGGTAGCTTAAAGAACCTTGCTAAAATGGATTATGATGCAGCAGAAGCAAATAATATTTAGTTTTCATAGGTCACCACTGAGGGAAAATCTACCAACTCTCTGAAAGTGTAAACACAGTAGTTTTCCAACAAAGTAGTTTCTCCCCTACATCAAGTACTATGAATTTTGGAATTGGCCTTAGACCGTTTGTGTTAACCTTAAATGACATGCCCATGGACTTTCAACAGTCTGTCTGCTGCAACGCACAAAATTGGAAAGAAATTGTGAAAATTACAAGTGCCAATCAAACAGCAACACAACTTCTAGGTCAGATCAAAAAACTAATAAATTCCAGACAGATGTTATTTTCTCATATTAGGCAAAATAAACAAATAAACAAATAAATTTACCTTGGGATTAGAAATCTTTGAATTAATCTAAAGCAGTGGCCAAGTAATGGGCCTACTACTGTTTAAAAGTTTGGAGTTGGTAAGGTATTTTAATGTTTTTGAAAAGTCTCTTATATGCTCACCAAGGCTGCATTTATTTGATCAAAAATATAGCAAAAATGCAATATTATCATGTAAAATGTAACTTTTTTTTCTATTTTTATTAATTTCAAAATGCTATGTATTCCTGTGATGTCATAATAGGAAAACTTAATGGTTTTGTAGATGAACCTAGTTTACTGCTTTATACTCCAAGACCCTCCTACCAGAGACCAGAAACTACTGCAGGTTGTGAAATCATTGTGTGTGTTTATTATGTCTCTTAGGGATCTAGTGAGTGCTTGACCGGTATGCAAAGGTTAAGGATACACAGTGGTAAGAATCTAATTTGTCAGTGCAAAATGGCACGTACTAAACTCCCTGTCAGAAGTGTGTGTGTGTGTGTGTTTACACAGTATAGATCAATCAGAGGGAGGGATGGTCGGCAAGAGGTTTTACTAATTGACCTCTGACAATAATAAGCCAGAATCACCAACACACAATCAAGATGACCACTAAACATACACACATCATCGCACACATACATGCTTTATTTATACAGTATACTACCATTTATGCACACACTACCATTTGAAAAAAAATTGTTTGAAAGAAATCTCTCTTGCTCACAGGCTGCATTTATTTGATCAAAATACAATAAAAACAGTAATAGTGTGTATATTTTCAAATGTAATTTATTCCTGTGATGCAAAGCTGAATTTTCAGCAGCCATTTCTCCAGTGTTCAGCGTCACATGATCCTTCAGAAATCATTCTAATATGCTGATTTGCTGCTCAAGAAACATTTCTTATAATCAATGTTGAAAACAGTTGCGCTACTTAATATTGCTATGGATTATTTTTTTTAGGATTCTTTGATGCAAAGTTGAATAAAATGAAACTTGAATACAACGTTCAAAAGAATAACATTCATTTGAGATAGAAATCTTTGTATTATTCTAAATGTCGTTACTGTCACTTTTGATCAATTTAATAGATCCTTGCTAAATAAAAGTTTTCATTTCTTTCAAAGGAAAAAAAAAATCTTACTGTCCCCAAGATTACTAAGATACACATACACAACTCCCACATACACTAATTTGTTTTGAGTAGCATTCAACTGGTCATGTGATCACAACATGGAGTCCTCTATGGCATGACCCACTCCATGTAAGATTTACAACTTTAGGCTTAAAACTTTAATGAAAAAACAAATGGATTCAATTTAAAGAAAAAGAAATACTGAGTGCAGCTTTAACAGACAATCACACACTGAAAACAAAAACATCCTGCACAGTCATCGAAATTGGGGTCTGACATAAACCTGGCACCGTTTGCTTGTTTTTTAAATGAAGAAAACAGCTCAACAGTAACACTGAGTGACTTTAACCTTTTCCACATGTAAAAATGAGCAGGGTCAGTATTCCCACTTCTGAAGGCAATGTGTCTTACACAGTAGCATGAATGAAACAGTGTTGTCTGTGTACTGGGAGAGAGCAAGGGCTAGCTTTGTTGTTTTTAGTGCGGTTCAGATCCCGTCTCATCTCTTCACTCCCCACAGCAAAATACTGTTGATCACCCTCCTCTCGTCTGCTATTCATCAGAGAGAAGCACATGAGAACATGTGTTCATGAAGAAAATCATTTAAGATTACAGGAATCAATCAATCTCTCTGTTTCTCAGACTACTTTGAATGATGTTTCATCTATTTGCATCATATCCCTCTCCTTTCTCTCATTTTCCGTGTAAAACTATTTATACTGACTGATGTAATTGCTTTAGTTTAGGTACTGAACTTCCCTTTAACCTGAGTGCCCGAAAATTACACAAGCTGATTACAGTTCTTTAGGTTGCCTAAACATCATTTTCTTCTGTTAATAGTCAAAAGAAAATATTTTTGTCTGCAGCACACACTCAAATGCCTTAAACGGTCCAGCTTTGTGCCAGAATGGTCTTGCTTATGCGTGGTTTTTCATTATAATTAGCTGGAAAAACATAATTGGCCTGTAGTTATCAAAGTGGAACTATTTTTTGAACGTATGCCATATTATTTCAATTTGTTAACTATATTTTTCTGGTCTGGCCAACCTGGTCGACATAATAGTACTGCAGCTCACAGTTTTGGCTCGCTAAATTGAAAAATCCGTCTTTGAAAAATATGACCCTGACTGCACACGGCTTCCAGAAACATAAGCCAATGCAAACACAACATTTCAAATGTGAAAAATATGATGATAACAATTATTTATCCTGTTAAATGGGTAGGAAGGGAGAGAGAGAGAAAGAGACATACTGTAAGAGGAGCGCCGAACATGAGTTCTATTTTCCACGCTCACTGTTTTCCTTAGTAGAAGTTAAAAAATTATAATAAATGAAAGCAGCCAAACATGGACTGTGAGAAAAAGACCTCAATGTATCCCCTGCATTTTATGAATTAACAAGAGGATTCATCTCCTGGCCTATCTCAGACAGATATATTTGTGTTTTACAACTGCATCTACCCGAACACTCATCATGGAGCCCATGTGTCATCCAGAGTGTTTGGCCGAAGATGATTCTGGAGCTAGTCAGCGCTATCGCATTAGTCACATTACAGAGAGAGAGAACTGCCGTTTTAGCCCATCTACTTCTGTAAAAAACATTTGATGGAGTAAGTTCCCATACACAAACGCTCTGTTAGACCCGACAGTGGTGAAGGTGACATCCAAACACAACACTCATAAACAAGACCGACTTGAGATGAGAGTTGACAAGAGTAGTCAACTCTGCAACATACTCCAAACACTGACTACAATGGTAGGGAGCAAATGAGGAATAATTCCTGTATCTAGAGCATATATCCTCCATTAAATTCCCCTACAGTAAATATAACTCTATTCCCAGTGCTATGGAGACAACACAAGACAACAGTACCAATGTAAATGGAATTCAAATCAGGTTATAATTCCAAACTCACTTATTGTTACAATGTGTCATGGACAGCAAGTGACAAAAGCTCTCTTAAATGTAGAGAGCATTTTGTTGATTGCTTAGTTTCTACAGTATCCTCATATCGGTATATGCATACTTTCCTACTATATAGTATGCAAAAAACAGGATTTCCAGTTGTGTAAATATTCAGTATTCATGAAAGAGCAGGTAACACAAAACATTAAAGCATTTGCTGAAATTCCTGAGACGCATGCAACTAGTGCCAACTTTGCTATCCCATAAGGCCATGGGGGTTGAGGAGACTACAGACCTTAAAAAAATAGTAGTATGTCTGGGAATATATTTACTATATACTACAGACCTGCATAGAACATCATCGAATTTAGTATGAATTGGGCAACATTTCAAATTTAACACTCTTTAATGATACTCTGGATAGCCCCGCCCACTTTTAAATCTCATTGGTGTAAAATTCCACTGGAAAGACTGAAGATGCATTTCTACCATCTCCAACATTCATATACAGTTGTTGCATTTCGCCCCACAAGAGGCACAGAACGTTCAAATTGGTTGTGAAGATGTTATTAAAATGCTGTTAAAATGAATAAATAATGAATATATGAAAATATCCACACAAAACAAATGACCGCCAATATGTTGGAAAGAAAAGCATAAAAGGTGTACTAATGCTTGCCAATGTAAATTTTGGTGCAAAAATATTGGTAATGCTCATCTCGCACGTATTTAAATACATCGGGCCTCATTTATCAATCTAACGTAGAAACAAGCGCAGACTCGTGCGCATAAATCAACTTACGACAGTGTTCAGTGATTTATGAAACATTCGTATGCCACCAATCTCATCGTACGAATGATCGCACGTTGATAAATGTGGCGGCAGAAAACAATCGTCATTTGAATATCACGCCCCTAAAAACACCCTGGTTTAGAAGCCTAGCCCCTAGAGTTTACGACATGGAGAAACGAAACCCGGCCAAAAAAAAGGAAGTAATCTCGAGAAAGAGAAATTGATCTTACTCTTTATACTTCAGTCATGTTCTAATATCCATGTAAAATCCTTCACATGCACAAAAATGTTTGTTTGGGTGCTCCAGGCTGATTTTACAGCGGACCTTTTCAAATAAACAGTGTAACTTTTATGTTTGGTTGACTGCATTTTAGTTTGATGATGAATAGCTGAAATGTCAGGCAACAGTAGAACTAATGTTGTTTGTGTGTGCGTGAGGCGCCTGTGCGATCAGATGGATTAAATCAAATAAAGATATAAAGAAAAGAAATAAAATGCATTAAGAGTGTCACAAAAACGAGTGTAGCCTATACTTGTTGCACAGTATTTTTTTTCCTTTTGTTAATCTGTTAATTATATTATAGCCTATTATATATTTTGTGTGATCCTATTTATTTTATTCCTTTTATAGACTTAATTTCTGTTTTTCTTCTTTCACAAAAGTGCTGCAGGTGCATGATGCGACGATTGAATCCTCGTGGTCTTGTTTATGCTGCTATTCGCACATATAAAGCTAAAGCCCTGTACGAAACAACAACAACAAAAAATACATTCTAATCTTACTGATTAACGATCGACTAATGAGCTTCGTTTGACGGTCAGGAAAATAAAAATGAATAAAATGCTGTCATTCTACAATTCTCCACCGTATTTACTATACTGCATGCAAGTTCAGGTAACTCAAAAACTTGCGTACACGAGCTGAGACCAGACGTGAGATCTGATCGTAGCCACCGCTCACATCCATATTGATAAATTCCAAGTTTTGCATTGAAACGACCATACACCCAATTTTCTGTCGTATGTTCGTTTCGTAAATGAGGCCCATCATGTCCAGTCGTGTGGTTACATACGGTACACAAAATAAAAAAATAAAAAATTAATTTGCCTAAAGCTCAAAACAGAATAAAAAATTCTGCATAAGCATATGGTCGGAACTTCACGCAGCTGTCATTCATGAAAATGAATAAATGATAGTTAAAAATACTGAAAAGGTGACTTATTGCAAATAAAAACAGTAAATGAAATTCAAGAATTCTGTGCAGTTAGAAACAGTGGCGTCTTAAAACATTCAATAGAGTAATCCTAGAACTCTGGGTATTTCAAAATTTTAATGTATTGAGATTTTCTGTGGAGACTGGCTTAAGTAGGAGGACTGAGCAAAAGAAAAAAGAGAATTGGAGAGTGCATTAAGCTGAATTGAAAACAGGAAGAGCTGGTTTGCTTCATTCAGAAACTCCAAAGGCTTTTAACAAAGCAGTAAAAGCAATACACAGAATATTCCCATGAGTGCCAGCTCTAAACCAACCTATGTTCATTTCAATACAAACACTTCACTGCCACACGCAGTATTGCTAATTGTCTCATATCATGAGCGTGAAAGAGTACAAGGACAACACTCAGGGTGGCTTAAGACTCCCAATTTGCATCTGCCCTTCACAGTTCTGCTCTTTATTTCCATCTGTGAAACAGCATCCTGCAATTTTGCTTGGATTCCCAGATCATAGGATTGGGTGAATGGATGTAGGAAAGTTCTCGGAATCTCCCCAAATATTTCCATCACATATTAGGATGGGAGCAGGGAACACAAGGTTGCCAGATCCAGTGATCTTTGACGAAGAGCGAGGTTTTCTAAAGCACCTGCATTTATTTAGCTTTATGTTTATGTTCTTGGCAGACAATGTCTAACCAAAACAACTCTTAAGAGAGTGCATATATTAGGTAATTCATGACAAATACCCAAGCAGTTTGCTAAGGATACAAGTATTAAGGCTAGAGCTGAAGTGCCTATAAGAACGATGTAACTGCAAAAAAGGCAACATACATTCAAAATTTGTATAGTATTGTTTTGATCTGCTATATGCAACGTTTACTATTTAAAGGGTTAGTTCACCCAAAACTGAAAATTCTGTCATTAATTACTCACCCTCATGTCAACCCGTAAGACCTCCGTTCATCTTCGGAACACAAATTAAGATATTTTTGATGAATTCTGAGAGCTCTCTGACC